TTGAATCAGCATAGTAGTTTTCCTTCTAACACATGTCATAATGAATTTGATTTAAAACGGTTGAAAATATTTTTCCAATCTCGCTAATACAGTGAATTCAAGTTAAATGTAAATCGGTGGATTTTTTATTTTTAAGCGAATCCAATTAAGAAGAAAATTATCACTAGGTTTAAATCACAATTGATGATCACTGGGTGGTGACCAATGTCATGTGTGTCAAGTCCTTATTATGCAGATCGAATGCTATCGACTATGGTGGACACACATGACATTGGTCACCACCCAGTGATCAATAAATTGTGATTACATCTCAGTCCTACAGGAGGTTGGTCGAGGCCTGGATAGCTCAGTGGTAACGTCTCTAACTGTGAAGCTGGGTGACACGGGACCGAATCCGTCAGGGAGCACCAGTTACCTCAAGATTACAGGTACACCTTGCTGACGAGTGCTAAGTAGCACGAAACCTGGGTGCAGGGTTTCCTGTCGACTACCTCCAAGCAGCATCAATTGGGTTTAAATATATGACACTGTAACAAAGTTTCTATTCAGCACTTGCAGTGTTACATTAAACTCATTTTAACCGCTAATTTTTAATACTTATTTCGATTGTTATAGAAAATTTCTTCACTAGAACATTGTTGAATTTCGGTGTTATTAGACAAATGCAAATAAATATGAGAATGTCGATATGTAGGTTGTATGGCAATATGTAGTTTCCTACTTTTTTCTGTTAGTTTATTAATTTTCAGGTTTAATTTTTATGATAGTCAAACAATATGAGTTAACGGTACTGTAGTGTGTGCTACTGATATTGATAGATATCAGTAGTATGTATCATCAGTTGGAAGTGAAATATCTGGCGGCAGAAGGTCAAGAAGATTGAAGAGAAGAGAACATAAGTGGAGAGTGATTGATGTACAAACAAATTAACTATCAAGTCTAAGACAATTAATTGACATTTTGTAAATGAAGTATTTACTGTATAGTTCTTAGATTTTACTAAGACGCTCTGATATTTTGTATGCAAATATAATCGGTCGTCCCCACTTGTGTTCTAGTCCACTACCGTACTCTATTACGCTATTGAAATACTCTAGTGAACTTTATGAGATTTTATTAAGATAAGCTATTAAAAGGCATACTTCTATATAAATAGTTTCCACTTTCGGGAGGTAGGTTTACTTCTCACTATTAATTCTTTTCATTGAGCGAAATCAAATGGAAAAATATTATTTTTACCCCCAAATCCCCTGGTACGGCCGAGAGTGGGGAGATTTCGCTCTCCCGCTCGAAATGCTCTCACATGGCCACGCATATATAGTCTCTGCTGGGAAAGTCCCACTCATTGCCTTCTCGTGGCGAGGGTGTTGTTCACGAAATAGAGAGGACGAAAAGAGAATGTCCGGCGCTTTAACCGGGTTGGTGGACATGGAGAGTTCACCTAGGGGAGCTGGAAAACCCTGATTCCAAACCAATGGTGCACATGAGCTCCAGTATCCTGAAGGAACAAATGGCGTATGAATCAATCGTTGGTCACCGGCTTCCATGGGACTGCATCTCCTTACGATGCTCCACTGCCTTGTGGATCAGACTTTCAGGTTGAAAGCTCCGAGTGTGGCCCCCTAAGAAAACCACCTGCTTTGGTTTGGGCACCCGGTCAGTATCACAGCCCTCACAAATATCAAATGTGATATGTGTAGCGCATATGTATTTGATGCCTCCTTGTACCAATATCTATGTGTTAAAATAAATAAATAAATTTCAGTAGTTTAAGTTTAAACATTTACCTAATGTAATAGTATCAATTGCATACATGTCTATGAAATGAAATCATCATCAATCTAAAGATAGAATAAGTTTTCAATAAAGATATTAAGTGTATGTCAAAAATTGGAATTCAGAATTCCATTTTCTCTTTGGAAAAAATGATTTAGAATTTAATTCTTAAATGGTATTGGTCATAAAACAGCTCAGAATAATACTTTGTTTTATCATACAAATTTTTCAGAATATACATTAAGGATATGCTATGGACAGTTTAAAATATTGCTCTATGCTATTGGATGGTTCAGTATTATGCTATTGGGAGTAAATATATTTAATCGAATCAACTCTATTAAGTATCAATTTCAAGTATTATATGAATTACAAAAAAACAATATCAACCAATATGATCCAAATGACTCATCTTTCATATTTATTGGAGGACATCAAAGTACAGGTAAACTAGATTTTCCAATAACATGAAATGACGGAAGTAATGATGATAGTTTATTTCAAAATGTGGTTTGTGGAGACTGTAATAATTTTTTTTGTTAGTTGAATTCATGAGTCGATCTAAGATATCCATTCTAATAGTAATCATATACTTATTAGCGATTAGACTTAAGATGAAACTCTTGAAGTTCTAGTGAGAAGTCATGATTAGTGAAGTCCAATCCGTGTCGGGTGGAGATAGTTATCCATTTTAGACAATGAATGAAGGGTTGCTGAAGATCATGAATCGTTTGAAGTTAGATAATAACATCTGTCGGATGCCGGCTCAGTAGTCTTAAGGTTTAAAGTTCGCGCACGAAACCGAGGGTTATAGGTTCGGATCCGGCGTGCGGGATCGTGGAGGATTCCCATGCTATGACGTTAATGGCCGTTCAGTGCTTCCAAGTTTTCAATGGTTATCATGTGATCTTCACAACTCTTTGTACCGAGGACTGTTTACAACACCATACAAATTAAATCGCGACTATTTATTATTATTATTATTAATGGCTTTATTCAATATTGCATTTTGGTACAATATAGATTTCTCAGCACATGGTATTTAGATCTAGTAATTACCTATTATCTACTCAAATTCACTACTGAGGGATCGTCTTGCATTTGAGTGTCCAGTCACTATTGTATACTTGTTGTCAGTTTATCACTACGGAAGTTATAAGTTTCAAATGCAATTTCCCATACAAATGAATGTACAGAACGTTGTAAAGAAAAAGATGGTGTTACATGCTAATTCAATTTCATCGGCCGTATAGTATCAATTAAAGATTGTTCAATTTCCTTTAAACACCTTAAATTACTTTATGTAGATCAAGATAAAAGCAATAATTAGTAGCAAAATGTTTGTATAACTGCTGATGTAAAAGTATTATATTTGATCTGTGCCATATCTCAGTTTACAGTATAATGTGCTGTAGGAAAGTATTCACCATATTAATATTTCGTCTCATTTCAGGTACCGGATTAATGCGCATTCTTCTGGACATTCATCCATTAGTTCGTTGTGGACCTGAACCAATCGTGACTAGGGAGCTATTAAGGTATAGAAGACATCTGGATACCATGAGTGATCTATTGTCACAGTCTGGGATTACTGAAAATGTGTTGGATGATGCCAGTGCAGCATTTATTGCAACAGTTATTCAAGAAATGGGCCCCAAAGCTCCAAGACTTTGTCACAAGGATCCCTCATCATTTATATATCTTGAGGAACTGGCTGATATGTTTCCGAAAGCAAAATTTATTCATATGATTAGGGACGGAAGGGCTGCTATTGCGTCTACAATACAGTAAGTATATCTATGTAGATTTAAAAATGTATTGTCAGTTCATTAATAAACATATATAATTTGACGTTCATTATTAT